TATTGAAATATACTACCAATTTTATAAAACCTCTTAACTGCATGGTGTTCTGAGCTGTTGATTGATATTAGCGCAAAGTTTTGAAAGTTATGAGAAAATAAAGCATTATCAGTCATTGGAAGTGCTTTTTCTTATTTGCTTTTTGAACTTTGCATGTTATTTCAACTTTGGCTATTTCTTTGCTTGTTTTTAAGAAGGCATTTTCTGATGCCATGCAAGAGACACTAGAAAGGGATAGCTGACAAGGAAAAAATTAAAAATTGGATAAAAAGTAAATGAATAATGTCATATTACCAAAAAGATGAGAGGCTAATTTGTGCCGACTTTTTGCTAATTTTGTTCAAGCCTCAAAATGAGGAGCTGTCACCCGTTCTGTGTAGCACTGATGACAGTGCCAATGATCCATGAAATAAGCTGCCGCTGGCTTTGTTCTGATAAGAATGAACAAATCTGCACAATGTTCGGCTCCCAGAATCTCATTTTCATACTTGCATGCAGGCTAAAAGAAATAAGCTGTTTGCAGGCTTGATTAATCAGACGTTGGAGGGGTTTTTGTCTCTTTGATCTCTTTCGTCTCCTAGGTAACTTGCTTGACATTAATGTTGAGCTTGAGTAAAGACAATCAGGAATTGTCGACCAAACTGATATAAAAATTAAAGACCTTAACACTTTAAGTACTCCAGTAGTGGTTCCGCTTTACTTCAGAAAACATCTGTTTTCATTTAATTAAAGAACAAAAGAGAATAGCATAAATATTTTTCATAGAGACCTATTATTCCATAAAAAGTTAAAGTATGATAATTGGTATTTTTAAATAAGTGCCTTGAAAGTGTTCAAAAGGGAGGAAAACTTCAGAAATCTGCTACAAGCTAGTAATTTTGAGATGAGTAAAAAATTTTATGAAATGGATAAGAAGTTTACAGTTATGGGAGATTAAGCTGTTTGAATCAGATGCTTCAAATGATTATCAGCAAACTTTAGAATAGCAAGGTTTAGCAAGAAAAACTAACTTTATTTTGAAAGTTTGTCTACTATGTTACAAGATGTGCCGTTATATCTATTTTACAACCCAATATGATTTACACATGTTAAACCTGTAAAATTGAAAGGAATTAAAAAAATGTCGCAGCGCATTTGCTTGAGGTTATGCAGACGCTTTTACAAATCTTCCAAGTGGCTGTAAAGCTGAATGCCTCAAGGGTCCAGCCAGGGCCCAGCTTTTCCAACCAGCTAAAGCCCTTATCTTAAATCCAAGCAAAGTACCATTAATCTTTTTGAAAGACCTTTTATGGCTTTTAATATATCCCAAATTAGAACATTTTACACCATTGGTTCCTGAAATATGGTGATAAAAAGCCTTTAGAGCTTAATTTTCCTTACTGCTTGCTCTGACCAATTTGCAGTTCTTTGTGATAATGTTTAGACACCTTAATTAAAATGCAGCAAAATATTGGATGTTCTATATGGAAAATGCTGATACTTTGGCTACACATACAAGAAATTCTGTATATATTTTTATTCATTTAAAAAAATTTCTTCCCACATTGTGTTGCTGTAGTTATCTGATGACCCGAAACAGGTTTTTAATATGAAAACCATTGACTAAGCTTTTGTGATGTTTACATTGGGCATGAAGATGCATTCTTCTTTTTACAGAAGCAAGAAGGGGATTCTTGTCGGCTTATATTATTTGTTTGTAATACTGAAACATTGCATGATATTCTTTTATCTTCTGGAACTCGGGTTAGTCATTTTGCCGGGGAAAATGTGTTTCTTCTCAACTGTCTCTTCCATAGAAGATCTTATTATCCTTCCATATTTCCAAATACTTCCGTTCTTTTTTCTTTCTTTTCAGGAATAAGTGAAACACATTCATTTTAAGCGTGTGAAGGACACAAAATTGATATGACTCTTCATCATCATTACAAGCTAAAAGATTCTTTAATATACATAGACCAGGCTTGTTTAATGTTTGTCAGCTGAAGAACATTCCATTTAACCTAACCTAAGGCAAAATACAGTTAGGAAATATACCTTTTACACAAACAGGTCTGTGAAAGTATTGCCTGTGTACCCAGTCATTTATTATATTTACGTAGTCACAAAATGATGGAGTCCTCTTATGTAAATACGTGTTTCATATGATAATGAATTATTTTTAACAAATTTATACTATGTCTTATGGACTGTATGCTCTAAATCTTTACTGTGATGCGGATTGTGCTGGATTTGGCCTTAACGTTGCTAGAAAACTAAAAGCTTTACATTCTTGGAGTATATGACCATGTTGAGATGAAGAGTCTCATTTAGATCAAATGACTGTGTGTCCAGACACACTGGGATACTATTTGGTTTGTCTATCCCAAATCTAGAAAACCCATATTGGGAAATTTCAATAAGCTAAGAATTTAAGCTACATCTTAGTTTACAACAGTTTTAGAAAATAATTTTGTCACATGATTAATGGTACATGTAATTACCATTAACTAAATATGGTACAAGTCATTTTTGTTTCATACTCAAAGTATAGGCTCAATTGAAATACACTAGCTGAGTGGGACTTCTGTTGCAGGGGTGGACTTAGCAAAACTTTATATCAAATTTGCATTTCATATATAATGCATAGGAATATAGTTAAATAGAAAAAGTACAGAGTTCTCGTTTTGATTTTTGGAGGTGGGAGAGAGAGAAGAGACTGAATATTCTACATGAATATGGGGAGACCTAGCGTACGTCTTAAACACAGGTAGCAAGCTGCGTTTTATGACAGTAGACAGTTTATTAGGTCTGTTTATTGCTCCCCTAGTATCCCGCTGTACCCCATGTTCCCAGCCACCTTGCATTTAGATGGAACTGTGTGAGTAATTCTGACCAGAGGGCTGTGAGCAGGAATGATGTCTGTCACTTCTGGACCAAAGCATTTAAGAGCCGGTGTGAGACCCTCCAGCTGACTCTTCCTTTGCCACAGCAAACTTGAAAACCACATGTTTGAGTTGCTGGTGCCACAAAATGGAGGAGAGCCCTGCCAGGCCACAGCTGACTTTAAGTGAAACAAGAAATTAAAGTTCAGCCAGTGAGATTTGGGGATTTTTTTGATACTGCAGTTTTGACCAGCCTAACCTGACAGGTGCTAACTTGATTTTTTACATTTATGACAAATGGATAGTTTTTCACTGGGTAGGAAATCCATCTTAATGATAAATTATGGCACAGCATCCTTCCAGAGTTTCATTTTCTCCTTAAAAGGTGATGCTAACGCGCTTTGATTCTTAGCCTTTTCTCTGATCAAGAACTGGAAATGAAAAGAGAACTGAGAGAGTAAGGCCAGTATGGAAGCAGTCGCATGTAACAGCACCCCTTTCTCCCCAGCCCCTCAATGCAAAAATAAGCCTGTTTTGTTCACTGCTGTATCTCCAGTGCCTGGCAAAATAATGCGTGTGTGCCCTCATAATATTTGTTGAATGAATGTTGTCCTTTTGAAAAAAGATTGTGATGACAGTAGTGCTGCTAATGTTGGTTTGAGTTTTGAGAAGACTCTGAGATTGCTCTGCTTTCTCAAGGTGGCTTTCCAGTTACAAGTGAGCTTCCTTTCTTCAGTGGCTTTCCTGTTGGTGTTGACGAACTCAGCACCTTGGTTTGATTGTCAGGTTGCTTCCATTTGCTTCCATTCTCTATATATCTTCTTTCCTGGACTGAAAAATCAGCTCTTTTTGTGCTCTTTTATAAATCCCATTCAGTGCTGGATTACTACTCGTTTGTTTGATCCTAAAGGAGACTGTTCTTCAGGATAAGCTGAAAGGAATGTCAAGCATCCCAAACTTCGCCTTCCTAACTTGGCTTCTTTCCTTACACTTGTGCTTGTAACCGCCTACCCTGTCTCCCTGTTGGCAATCAGATCCCTAAAACTTGGGCTTTAATATGTTGACTTGAGCGTGGCTTCCAGGTCCTTTCTTCTCTTCCACACGTCTGCTGTCCACTAATAGGTATTAGGTTGAGCACAGGGATAGAAAAGATAAGAAACACCTGAAAGAGATTTTTAGCCTTTGTTTTTAACTTGGGTTCTTAAGAGATACTGTTGAGCCATCCATGTAGGTGGGCATTTTTAAAATCAGCCCACGAAAACGGGATCACCATACCTGTCCTGGAGACACTCGCTGTGCAGCCGGAGAAACAGCTGTGCAGCCAGAGAGCAGGGTAGAGCAGAGTATGGTAACTGTAGGCTATGGCATAGAAGCTGCAGGGCTGGAGAAATACAGAACAACGACTGTTTTAGGTTGAGTTAGAGAAGACTTCATGGGGTGGGGAGGAGGAAGCTTTGTTTTGATTGGATCTTATGGGACTGGGGCAGATGGGTGTAAGGAGGAGCATGAACTGAGGGACCAGCAGAGGGAACACTTAGGTACCGTGGTCCTGGCGCCTAGCCTTTTCGCCTCTTAGCACCCCTTATATTCTCTTTTCTATCGGTGAATTAAAGCTGTTGCCCATCATTCAAAGTGTGTTTATGAAGTAATTAGCTTTTCCATGTTTTATTAATCACATCTATGACTGCCAATCAGAGCCTCTGATCAGCATGAGATAGCTGGTGTGACCATACTGAGTTGCTGTAATTCTAGCCCAGAGCAAAGAAACCTGATGTCTCTGTCAGTCTGTGCAGCCTTATCAGGGGTAAATTCCTGTTTGGCCTACTGAAATGCTGAAATAGCCTGAAGATCTTCATCACAACCCTGTGGACCCTCGAGGGGCCTCAGTTTGGGAAGGATTTCCATCCAGCAGGCTGGTACAACTAGGGAAAGGGTCTGTGGGAGGGAAGGGAAATATGGGCCACATCTATGCATTCTTTATGCTTTGGTTGTTCCAGGGGCCTGAGCGTAAGAATTTCTAATTTGTAGACATGGCTTTCTTAACCACAAGTTCTCAAGGATTTGTATTATTGTAGTTCTTGTATTAGTTGGAATGTTTATTTTCACTTTTTTTTTCTTTTTCTCCTTTGTAATTCTTAGCTTGGTGTAAAAATTGCGAAAGCAGTTGCCTGCCACAACTTCGTAAAAGCCAAAAAGGATGCTGAAAATTCACAGGTTGCTCGAAAAAAGAAGAAACTTGCATGGGGGTGAGTTTAAGATTTTTAGTAGTAATTCTACTAACTTTTCATGGAAATCCTGTGATACGTTTTGTGAATCCAGTTTGTATGTAATTGTTATTCATTTTATTTTTTATATCTTTGCTGAATGTTTATCAGATTATGAATATGGAGCATTTCTTCATCTGTTTGATGTTTATTTCATGATCAATGGAGTATGCTTGAAAAATTTTTAAGTTTATTTTACTTTAGCACTTAGTAAACATATTTAGTCAAATATTTAGAAATAAATTGAGATTTTTATATTCTTCATTTCAGGTTTGAAGCAAAGAAGAGATGGGAAACCAAAAGCAACATGGGATATATGTAACTTGCCAGAGTTCTTCAAGACATTTGAGTCTTTGAGTTTTCTCTTGACTTTTCAATTGTTCAATTTACTGAAAAGATTTTCCTGCTTATGTTAACTATGTCAGGAAATTGATAGAAGTAGAAAAAATAAGCATAAAATTTGGGAGTTGATTATCAAATCTTTTCAGTCTCTTTCTGAAAAGCTCATCCTATTGAAGTAAATGAAATAGAGCATTCTGTTATTGATACAAGAAATCTAAGCAGACATGCAGGAAGAAAGGATAGAATCTTATTTATTTATTTATATAGACCTCCAGTACAAAATCAATTTTACTTTTATCCATTTGGTGTAGCATAGCCAATGAGCTCCTTGTATTTTCTTATCTGTGCTCAGTGTAACTGTACTTATCCTGGAATTGTGTTTTTAAGATTGGCATTTGTTTATAATGGATTAGTCATAAGTGCAAGAACATCTCAATTGATATTGTCTTTACAAATGACTTTAATTATCTTAATGTTATAAAAGTAATTATTGATTCTTTATTGGAGGCAGTAGAGTTAATATTTGACAGTCGTATAATAAAAACAATTGATTTATTTTTGTGTACCTTCACATAAAATATTACAATAATAAAAGGACAGAATGTAGTATTTGGAGGATGATTTAAATTCAACTCTGCCTAGAACTATCTTTCTAAATATCTCTCTCAGCCATGTCATTCTTTAAAGTATGAGATGGTTCTTAGAGGAGAACATAGTGTAGTTGATTAGGTGGTTATAACTCCAGACAATATAATTTTGAACCTTTTAAGAATGTGGTTTGATTGTTTTTACTCCTCTTCCCTGTTACTTCTTAAAAGATGGAATGAATTAATGAGGATAAAGAAAGGATTGGTGCCATGGGAAGTAGTTTTCATTAGATGTGTGTTTCATAGACGTTACTAGAAGGGGCTTTGAGAAATCATATAAGCTGGTAAGACCACAGCTAGATGTTTTGATGTTTTTGGCAGCCTTTGGTATTTTGGCACCTCCCTACTTGATGCTCAGTAGAGGTCACGAACTGCTTATCATGGTTTTCATCAGTTCACTCCCTTTCTCAGCCTTTGCATCAGAGGCTTTCTAGCTGTCTGAGATAAACTTTTTATGGGTTGATAATAGTAATTCAGGAACATAGAAAATTAGTCATTATAGTTATTATTATTTTATTATTTTTAGACTTACAATAGTAACAAAATTTACTAATTTATGGTGGCACATTTAATGTTTTTTCTATGTTCTGGAATAAGTGAGTAACTAGTTGCTATTTAAGAGATCAAAAATCATATCTTGCTTCCACTTAGGTGAGAAAAGCACATAAAGAGAAAGCAAGATTTTAGGAGATTGTGTGTCTACTTATAGAATTCATCATGAAAAGGTTTCCAGATCAAATATTGGAAAATCTTATACTTTATGATTTAATATCCCCTATTGGGTTTTGTAGATAAAATCATATAGTGCTTACCTACATCATCGCATTTCAGACTCCTACTAGGTGAATACAGGCTTACAGTATAGGAACTTTTCCCCTAAAAAATCCATCCAAAAATCCAGTGGATAGTGAGGGAACTATCCACTCCACAGTTCGGTGGTTTGAACAGGCAAGTAGTATGGGTATTCTCACCCATAGGGCCCCAAGACAGGCCTTCCCTGCAGCCTCTGCCTCGTTGTTCTTTGCCCATGTCCACTTCCTTAGAGCACTTAGTGACCCCTGCAGGCACGATTCACCACTCTGCTCATGCTGAGGCCTTGCCGGAGTGGCCTTCTTTAGAGTCCGATTTGGGAGCCTCAGACCCGAAGTCCAGCCCTTGGAGCCCTTCTTCAGCCTGTGCTAGTGCCAGTGATTGCCCACTCAGGCTTCTCATGTAGGTGGGAGCATTTTAACTGAGTGGAAGGCATTATGGTAGAGGCACATGCAGCAGGGGACTCATTTGATAAGGGGAGCCATGTCTCATAAGTCTCCACTCTTTGGGCGCCTGGGTTGTAAAAAGCTCCGAAACATTATGGTACAGCAGAAGAAGGGGGAAGGATTTGGGGGAGAGGCAGAGACCAGTTGTCTTGGGTTAGCCCTGCTGGCATGTTGTTTGGGACTCGTTTTATTTTATCAGCTTTAATTTGAATTAGACATTTTACTCATTAAAGCAATAAAGTGGGAACATTATTCTTAGAGTACCCATGTTGCCCGAAAAGTGTAGTCATTTGTCCTCTCCGTCTGGTCACAGCAGAATAAGGATTCTTTTTCCATCAGTAATAACTTCAGTTCCTAAGCTTTAACATGTGCCTTTACTACCACCAGAATGCCTGGATTAAATTAGTAATGTAAATGTCAGTTATTGTTAACTGAGATTAATATGTTTCAAGGCATTGGTATGGCATTAATGTAACTATAATTTACTGTTTAAGTACTCCAGGCTAAAACAACTTACTAAAGAACAGTAATTTTGAGCTTTATAGCACTGGTTCTGAGAAGTGAAGTTGGTAGTACATTCTTGTTTGGGAGCCCTCAGGATGTTTCTGATTTTCAGCAGAACATTCTATATTTTTCACCAAAAGAAGAGTTTGAATATATAATCTCAGGTTTGTTATAATTAGTTCTGATGACAGTTAAATACCTTGGCCAAAACTGTAAATCATCAACCTGTTAAACAGGTTTCTGCAACTGATCATAAATCTCAAACTCCATATTTTAAACACACAGTTTTTTAGAGAGACAACAGCTAAGGGAGGGGCAGACCAAGGACAGGACTGAAATGTTGTCTGAACTTTGAGTAGTAGCTTAGAACCTCAACGTTAAAATCTGCTGATTTCCCTGATACCTTTTATCTAAAATGTTATCTTTTAAATATTTTAATAACTAGCTTATTCTTTGCTCTGATAAGACAAGTTTGAATTGAGTTCTTTAAAATATGAAAGTTAATTTTCAAAATGTCCAAATTTTCATTTGTTATGTAAAGATACCGCTTTTTTTAGAAATGTGTGTGCTGCTACACTATAAAAAATATTGTATGGGGTTGATATTTAAATAAGATGCCAATTGTGTGTGTTTTTTTAAGAGATAAGGTTTAGGGCAACAAGGTAATGTTATGTCAGACCTCATTTTGGAAAATTAACTTAGTGAAACCTAGTAGTCAAATTCAGAGCCAATGGAAACAATTCAAGTTTTTCCATGTTGGCAGAAGTTGCTTTTATTTTATAGTATCTGGCAGAGCAACAAATGCTTTGCGTGTCAATTTAATATTTTTTCAAGCCACCTATTTATTCATTGGCTTAAAATTTACACTCTACTAAAGTCTTAGCCCTGACTTTTATGAACAAATAGTAATATTTGGACAAAATACACGAAAATCTTTTTCCAAAACCAAATGTAGATTGGTATTTGTGGCATCAGTGACTTTTAACATGGTAACAGATCTAAGAGTACTTTGAAAAGTCTAAGGCATTATAAGCCCATGGCAATGCATTTCAAGGAATTAATTTTTATTATGCAGTAGAGCATCTTTCTAGCTTTTCAGATTTAAATTAGTGAGATACCTTTTGCTAGAAAGTGGAATATATGTTAGAGTAAATTTCAGTGAACTATCAAAAGATTATTTTATGAATGTACATCCATTCTTGAATTCTGTAGCATACTGAGACAGTAAGACCCATTTTCCATTTCTGAGGTTGGGATGTTCTGTAGATTGATAAAATGAGCAGAACTGCATTCTTTATTCTTTATTATATTTTCCTCCCTCCACACTGCTCACTTTAAGAGAAAAACACATACACACATTCTCAGGGTTGTAGCTGTAATCAACCCAAAGACTTAGTGGGGAAGGGATTCTGGACTCCAGTCAAGAACATGGCAGCACGTAGCAGATCAAGATTGCCGTGAAGAAACCTAGAAAGGAGCCGCCAAACCATTATTCTCTAGTCTTTTTTTTTTTTTTTTAGATTTTATTTATTCATTTTTTTTCCCCCCAAAGCCGCAGTAGATAGTTGTATGTCATAGGTTCACATCCTTCTAGTTGCTGTACGTGGGACTCGGCCTCGCGTTGGACGGAGAAGTGGTGCCTCGGGGCGCGCCCGGGATCCGAACCCGGGCCGCCAGCATCAGAGCGCGCGCACTTAACCGCTAAGCCACAGAGCCGGCCCTCTCTAGTCTTAAGATAAAGTGTATTGCTTCTTCAGCAAGATCTCCTTCTACTCACTTGTGAGTATTCTGGAGATATGTGTTTGTTTTTTTAGAATTTTTTCAAATACAGTGGTGCTGTCGGATAGCTTCCTGCCACACTGGCTTTTGTGATCTTGATCCCTGGAACACAACCACAGGCTTTTGGTAGGACTGTCTTAAATGCCATGCAGTACACTGTGTTTTTAGATGTGCCTGTAAAAGCAAGAATTTGCTGAGGGATAATTATCTTTTTATTAGTATTAGTAACCCCTTTTTAGATTCAAGTAGAAAAAGCATAAAAATTTTCCAAGTGAGATGGTATTTTAAAAAAAATTGAATTTAGGTACCTGCCTTTTATATCTGGACGAGGTTTCTTAAGGAAGCACAGGATAAGAGGGAATGAAAGGGGAAAGGAGGGTAGTGCCCAAGAGAAGCTTCGGCTCCTGCAGCTCCTGGGTGCTGCTATGCCAGCTTTCCTCCTGTGCCTATTTACTGGCATCATTCGAGAAGCCCCAGCCCACACCTCCTCCGGGGCCCATGGGCTGCCTGTTGCTGAATTGCTGCAGGGGCCTGCTGTGTGACAAGTGTGGAATGAGGTAATTGTTTCCCACCTCTAATTTCTGAAGGGTGTGTCTGTCCGGTTATTACTTGTTCATTGAACTTAAAGGTTTAGAAACCAGCAGCTCCAGTACAAGCTGTAATTATTGATGTCTGTTTCATATTCATCTGTAAGTTCTGGCAGCTGATCAAGAAGTTAATATATCACTTTATCTTTAGGCCGAATGTGCCTCAGCCATAAATGATTTACTGTTTGATGGATAGTAGACAATTATGAATGCCTGGAATAAAAAGTGTTTTCATTTGTATTGTGGATGATACTAAAGGAAGTAATTATGAATGTCATAAGGAATAGTGAAACAATGAAGCCTTGTGTTTCTTTGAGTTCCTCCCTTCATGATGTCTGAGAAACGTTGACTGAACACCTACTGTGTGTCAGACAGTAAGCTAACTCTTGTGGATGCAAAGATGAATAAGCACGGTCTGATGGGAAATATATGTAAACCATGTTTTGGACAACTTGACTTTTTGGACTATTGGAAAATCAGTGACTAAATGCAAAGAAGTAATCTACATGTAATAAATGACTTAGACTTAAAAATTGTAGATAACATGGGTCTACATTCTCTCCAGGTTGCTGAGTTTCCTAGCTGGGCGGCTAGCTTCTGTTGCTCACTAGCGTAGTGACTGATCCACACATGCTCACCTCACAGGGAGTGGCATTGACACCCTGACCTTCACCTTATTTCTTAGGCTCACTGCAGAGGTGAGGGTCATTGGTGGGGAAGACTCAGGAGTGAATGTAGCTGTTTTCTACAGGACTTGGTAATTTTAAGCTTACAGTTTTTCTCAGACTGTCAGCACGTCCTCTGTGTGAGAATGGCGGTGTCACAGTGCCTGCCCATATTAGGGTAATGTTAACTACTACACGTAGTATGCCCCCCAAACTGTAGTGACTCAAACACAATGGAAGTTTATTTCTTGCTCGTGGGACAGAGGAGGATGTTCCTCTCAACAGGGGGCTCTGCTTCATGCAATCATTCAGAGACCCAAGCTGACAGCAACTC